AAAAAAAAAAAGCTGATTTAATGCTATTAGTTTCCCTGAGATTCCACTACAATCCAATACTTGGATGATTCACTGTTAGGCTTTAGGACAGTAGTTCTCAACCTCCTGGCCCTTTAAATACAGTTCCTCATGTTGTGACCCAACCATAAAATTATTTTCGTTGCTACTTCATAACTGTAATGTTGCTACTGTTATGAATCGTAATGTGAATATCTGATATGCAGGATGGTCTTAGGCGACCCCTGTGAAAGGGTCGTTTGACCACCAAAAGGGTTTCGACCCACAGGTTGAGAACCACTGCTCTAGGATTACCATACTCCTGAAAGGACACAACAGCTAGCTATAAAACAGTGGTTCTCAAGCTTGGCTGCACATTAGAATCACTTGGGACTCTTTTTAAAATCCTGATTTCTGGGCCTCATCTCCAGAAACTCTGTTTCTTTGTTACTGATGTTGTGGCCCCACCCCATAACAAAGAAACAGAATTTCTGGAGGATGAGGCCCAGAAATCAGGATTTTAAAAAGAGTCCCAGGTGATTCTAATGTGCAGCCAAGGTTGAGAACCACTGCTATAAAAGAGCCGCAGGCCTCAAAGGACAAGCTTCCATTTTGTTTGCCCCAAGTAAAATACCTTGGCCATCTCCTATCAAAAGGTGGGCTACTGATGAACTCTGACTCAGAGGGATCCTATCCTTTCCTCCTCCAAAACCAAAACAGCTTAGAGGATTCCTGGGTCTGACTGGATACTGTCACAATGGGGTTCCAAGCTTTTTATTAACGAGCCGACCTCTATATGTCTTCTTAAAATCAGATCAGCCTGATCCAATTCAGTGGAACCCTGGAGGAAAACAAGTTGTGAAAGCTCTAAAGAAAGAATTTTTCCAAAGCTGTCACTTTGGGGCACTCTAATTATAAACTTCCTTTCTTTTTTAGACATGAAAATAAAGGAAATGTTTTAGGAGTTCTAACTCAGAAACAGAGATCATCATAGACCTATAGGATGTTACAGGCAGCAGTTAGACTCAGTAGCATAAGGACCATCTCTGCTACAGCCGTGCTGTGCAAACAGACAGATGGGCTGCTGATTAACTCTGAAAGACTCAGAGCTATGGGCTCTGCTTTAACTACTTATGTTCCTCGTTCTGCTGAATCTTGAGTGGTTACTCTTTTTGAGAATAAAAATGGAAGGAATCAGACCCAGGTGGCTGCATTCATTGTACTTGGTACAACACTGGTGGTGACAAATTCAGTACAAGTTCATTTATTCAGCATTATTTGTTACTATGTTCCAGGAGCTGTTCTAAGCACTTAGGAAAATACATATATGGTTCATATGTTCTTTCCACCAACCCTTAGAGGTAGAGACCATTATTACCCCCATTTTACAGGTGGGGACACTGAGGTATCAAGACTAACATTAGGTCACTTGCCAGAGGACACAGTTAATATAGAGTCTGGAAGCTGGTTTCAGAGCCTCTACATTGAAACCTAATCTAAGGCAATCAGGGCCTCTTTTAGTTCCCTTTGGTGGAGAAACCGTACTTTTAGGAGTGGGTTAGTGGCATCTGAGCATCATATGCAGGGAAGGATTTGCACATGCGTGGGGGCAGGAGGGAGGAGCAGCTTCTTGCTGGTAGAAAGGGGAGGCCCACTGCTGACCCTGCGGTTGAAGAGTTGCAGGGATTTCCCAAGTGTAGGGTGGGCTCTCTTAAGCACAGTTTCACAGCCAGAGAAAGAAATGACAAATTTTCTGTTTTATTTCTTCCATCAATAGGATATGTTTTTGCTAAATGAATGAATGTTTGTTAAATGAACCAAGCACACTGAGGGTGGATTTCAGCTCACTGATACCAAGCTGATGGCATAATAGAGAAGTCATTTCTCTACTTCCTGTTTTTCAGGGTTCAAAACAGGTGTTGTGGGCATCTCCCACGGAGAAGCATTTGTAGAAACAGTGCTTGAGGCTAGAGATTGGCAAGTGGAATGCTATTGTTGGACCCGCGGCTTCTGGCTTTGCACTGTGGGGTGCTCCTCCTGCACGGGTCTGTGGTCACCAGGAGGCCCCCGAGCCGACCTTCACAGCCCACTGTTCGCATGCTTTAGGCCGCAGGGCCTGCAGATCCCTTGTCTAGATTCTCCCTGGTCCTGAAGGCCAATCTGATGCATACTTTTTCCTGTGTTGATGTTTTAAATCTCCAAATTATTGTTTACTATTTTATTTATGGTAAGCGAAACCCTTTTTTAGGGGATGTGAAAAAATCAGTGAGTACTTCACTCTCTCTGTAGCCCCTGCAGTGCAGCTCCCCAGCTGCTCACGCCTGAGCTGCAGGTTGAGGAGGAAAATGCCGCATGAGATAGAAGTGCCCTTTTCCTGTCTTCACCTGGCCCAGGTTCACGTCCACAGCCTTCCTCATCCATTTCCCCCATGAGGAGGGGAGTGCCTGTTACAGGATGTCCCTCCTCACCCTGTCCAGGGAACCCGGAGAGCTGCCCCGAGCCCAGGCCCTGCTTCCACTCGAGGCCTCAGAGCCTGCTCCGAGCTGAGCTTCAGTGCCTGGGTCTGGCCGGCTGGATAGATTCAGGGAGGAGGGGGTAAGACCAAGACTTTGTCTCATAGGAAATGCTAAACTTGCATAGCCAGAAACTTCTCTGGAAGAAAGGGTTTTTTGAGCCACATGCTAACCAGACAAAGGACCAGGCCCCGGGACACGCAGTTGGAACCACCAACAGCAGGCCTCGATGGAGAAGACATGGCAGCTGTCCTAGAGCGGAGGGCTTTTTTTATATATTACTAGAGGCCCGGTGCATGAAATTCATGCATGGGAGTGAGGGGGTGTCCCTCAGCCCGGCCTGCACCCTCTCCAGTGCGGGACCCCTTGGGGGATGTCTGACTGCTGGCAGTCTGACATCCCTCTCGCAATCCGGGACCGCTGGCTCCTAACCACTCTCCTGCCTGCCAGCCTGATGCCACGCTGACCTGATCCCCCTAACTGCTCTCCCCTGCCAGCCTGATCCCCCTAACTGCCCTCCCCTGCCGGCCTGATCCCCCTAACTGCCTCTGCCTTGGCCCCGCCACCATGGTTTTGTCCAGAAGGACATCTGGTCTAATTAGCATATTACCCTTATTAGTATAGATGTTTTGGGGGTAAAAATATGGAAGTCATTTTGAAAGACTTGACACTGGCTCTAGAGGAGGGGAAAGGTGACGTGGGGAAGTTCTAGGATGGTGCCCTGTTCCTGAGGGAGAAACATTTACTGGGGATTGGTGTGGGCACCGCAGCTGGCGGGCTGCTCCTGTTGGGTTGCCATCCTATGTTGAGGCAGAGCTCCTATATCCACTCAGGACCCCGCGCCAACTTTTGTTCGTTGGCCCACAGCTACCAACTGGGGAGTGGCTCTTGTTTTCCTCCCGTCTCTGGCCTGCTGTAACTTAATTTAGGACATCTTAGACCTTTTTCTTGTCAGAAGTTTTTCATCTTTCACTTCTGCTTTCCCACACTTGGGGTACGTTTTCCCCTCGCTTTCTGTTCTGTAAAAGTTTCGGGGTTTTACAAATGAAGGTTGTGGGAGGCAGTGCTGGAGAGTAGGAAGGCCCCGACTTTGACCTGGTACTGGCAGAGCGTGTTCAGTTAATGGTGTCTCAGGCGCTGCACTTAGGATTGGCGCGTTTTTCCGTATGTGTATTTTACCCCAACGACAACAGTATCTTGTGATTATTATGAGAGGCGTAGCAGCTCATCTGTTACCGAGGAAGAATACAAGAAAAGGAGGCGATGGACGAAGAGGCTCATTTTTTAAAATCCTCACCCGAGGATACGTTTTTATTGATTTTAGAGGAAGAGGAAGAGAGAGAGAGGGAGACATCTATTGCCACCCTATGCACCCCAACCAGGGATTGAACCCATCACCTTGGTTCAGATGCTCCAACCAACTGAGCCACGCGGCCAAAGCCTAATTTGTCTTAATTGCTGTGAAAAAGGGGAGTCCAAGGTGAAAGTGTAGACTGACTCAATAATTTTACTCTTGGCATTTATCTTAAAGAAACAAAGATGTGTACAAAGTTTTAGCAGTCTCACAGTAGTGAAAAATTGCAAGCAATTAGATGGTGCGTAGTACATGGACTATTATTTTGCACAACCAAAAATGGAATATTATTTTGCCACTAAAAAGTATGCCATAAATGTTTTTTTTATTAAAGCATAGTGCAATCCCATTTTTTATAAAAAGCATAGTATATATAGTTTACATATATGCATAGAAAATAATCAGAAGAAATATACCCTAATATTAACAATGGATTATACCGAAGGCACAGAATTATGGATGATTCTTATTTCCCTATTTAAGTTTTTTCTTCCAATGAGTGCACATTTCTGTGCAACACCGTGAGAGAGGAAATGCGTGTGTAGGCAACAGTTTGCCAGTGGTCGGCAAACTCATTAGTCAACAGAGCCAAATATCAACAGTACAACGATTGAAATTTCTTTTGAGAGCCAAATTTTTTAAACTTAAACTATATAGGTAGGTACATTGTTATTCACTTAATTAGGGTCCTCCTAAGGCTTAGGAAGAGCCACACTCAAGGGGCCAAAGAGCCGCACATGGCTGGCGAGCCACAGTCTGCCGACCACGGGTTAGGCAATTAGCCCCATCACTCCTCACCAGGGCAGTCTGCCCTGCCACATGCTCACCTGATCTAGGGGAGACCAGCTCTCTAACGATTCTGCCTTTACAGACCGAGAAGTCAGCAGGGGCCCCAGGAGCATGTTCAAATACAGCCTCTGAAGTTCAGAGATCCAAGAGGATCTCCATTCAACTTTCCTGATGCTCAAACCACATCGGTAAAGGGGTGGCTGCTCCTCGTTCATGGGTCCCTCTGCAATGAAGAGCTGGGAGAACAGTTTTGCCTCCACTTAGGGTTTCACAGAGGTTTTCTTTCTTTCTTTTTTAATCTTTCACAGAGATTTTCTTTAGAATTTCTTTCTAAAGAATCTTAGAATTTTCTTTAGATTTTCTTTAATTCATTTTCCCAGGACTCAGCTCACCTCTTCCGCTTCATTTGCGGAATCCCTAGTGGCTATACAACTTGGTTGTAAAAGCCCACATACTTTTCAGCCACATTATGGAACTCAGTGGAAGGCAGTTGTTCTCTTAGTTCATGATCTTCTCAGGGTCCTGCGTGCAGTGGTGGGTTTCTCAAGAAATGACTTGCTCCCTTGCGGTTGGAGACACAGAACTGCATGCTGAGCCGGAGGCCTCCAAAAGGACGATCTGAAGGATGTGGAGAAGGGGCCCAGCCCAGCCGTGACTCTGATCAAGCCTCCCCCCTCCCTGGACCTCAGCCTCCTCTGCAAAATGGCCAGGGAGGAGGTCTGGACCAAGTGATGGGGAGGCCCTCACAGCTCCAACAGCAGGTGCTGAGAGCATAGCCGGCCCTTCCCCCCAATACGTGTGCGCGATAGTATTGCAACCCATATGGTAGGTAGACTACAGTTTTGTTTTGTGTCAATTAAAGACAAAGAAAAAGAAACCCCCCACCCCTCCACCCAACGAAAGTAACAATAACGAGAATGAATACATAAAGAAGGCGGAAAAAAACGAAGGGAAGGGCTGTTGCTCCCCTTGTAAGGGGAGTTCTCAGTGGGAAGTCTTGTAGTGGCTATTGCGCAGGGCCCCTCACCATCTTAGACGTATCTCTCTGAAGGGCTGGGCTTGCCTGCGGGCCTGACCAGGGGCCTGAAAGAGAGACAACCATCATTGCGGCGAGCGCAGTGCAGCAGCATCCATGTCCACCCACCCTTCCCGGCCTCCCAGCCTTGTCAGGATCTGAGGACCTGTCCCTGGGACACAGCACAGGACTGGTGGAGTGACCTCACCAACCTACCAAGTGCCTGACTTGTGCCACCTTGTTTGTTTAACCCGCAGCAAACTGAGGGGGCAGGCACTGGTAATGAGGGCTAGAGAGCGTGCGTGCCCAAGGGCACAGAACTAGCAGGTGGTGGAGCCAGGATCTGAACACAGGACCTCTGTCAAAGATCCCCATAGAGGTGAGAGAAGGAAGCTGATAATCAAATCAGCAGTTGACCTGATTCTCAGCCCCCGAGAGGGTCACAGGGGAGGACGTGAGCCGAGTGGAGCTACTTTATTTAAAAGTCCCCTTGACCCCCAACAGTCTTCACCTGAAGACCCCGCCGCCCCATGCAGAACACCCATGTCACCTGCCACTGCCCAGCTGTTGCACAGTGGACGTGTTTACCTCAACTCAACCCCTCTAGCATGCTGTCTCCTGGGCTGTGTCTCTAACCTTCAACGCTGGCAATCCCAATAAAGTTTTCAAATGCATTTTTTAAAAAAAAAATAAAAATAAGTCCCCTTGATAACCACACTAGAAATGTGTGTGAATTCAGTACTGGGCTCGCGCCCCCCGTCTGCACACGCCATGCTCCAATACTTCTGCCCACAGTCATCACCGCGTGTGTTCGCTCAGGCGTGTGGACTCCTCAGCTGCGTTTCATCTGCACAGCGTTGTTTTATTCTCAGCTACTCATTTCTACACGGGAATTTTCAGAAAGAGAAAGGGCATGATTCTCCTTCAAAAGCTCCCAACTGAACCCCAAGATTGAGCTTGCTAAAATTCTCTGTTTTTAAAGTCTTTATCCTCTTAGTTTATCACCTACTATATATGCATTGAAAATTCATTACACTTCCGTTGTTAGAAATAAGGATGTGTAAGATCTTGAACTGGCATCCCTGCAGGGAAATATCAAGGAGTTCGAAGTGCACGCCCCAGGTTTAAAGTCTGAAATGCTTTCATCTACTGAAAGGAACCGGTGAATGTGGTTGGTTTTCCTTAACCCCCTGCTTTCGTAGCCCCGGAGCACAGGAAGGTGCCTGGCTCTGCCACTTGCTGGCATGATGGCCTTGAACAAGTCGCTGTGTGGTGGCCTCAGCTTCCCCACCGTAAAACAGTGGCCACAGTGAGTGCTTTAAAAGTTGTTATGAAACCTGAAATTTAAATATGTCTGCATATACAGGGTTTCCCCCAAACTGTATACACACTTTGAATAATCACTAATCCCCATGGGTTAAATCTGAGGAGAAACACGGGAATTAACAATTATTCGAAGTGTGTGCACACTTCCGGGAAGACACCCGTTTTATAAGCCAAGTCCTGGGTACACTGGAGGCTTTCATCCGACGGTGGCTATTGTTGTCGATAATCTGAGTGTACATGTCTCTGCCCCCTTGGGTAGGTTTTCTGGCCTCTGAGCAGTGGTCTGTGAGATGGGACCACGGGGTCCACCTATCACCTGGGGTTGCTGTGAGGATAAGAGGTCCTGAGTGTAACCTGCATGGCGGCGCGGGGCTGGAATGGGTGTTTGTTAGATATGAGCACGGGGCTGCCTCGGCCTCGGCCTCGGCCAGGAAGGAGAGAGGAGACGGAGGCCTTGTCCTCTCTGTGATCGTTTCAGAAGGACCCTGGGCTGAGCCTCGATGGGCAATCACTTGAGCTGCCTCTGGTCCTCCCTTTCTTTCACTCCAGTTCTTGGCAGCCAGTCCGGGCCCTGCATGGCACAGGGAAATTAGGGACCAAGGCCCTTATTTGGTTCAGGTGATAAAAGATGGGCTCTCAAGAAACTTGATAGAGCAAGTAGGGAAAAAAAATAAATAAGTAAAGCTTTCTTATGAAAACACCAAACCGCAGCTGTAATCATCCAGATAAAAAGACCTCAGGTTTTTTTGAGGAGCTGGAGTAAAGGGGGAGACCTTTCTGATTTTTTACTTTTTGGCGCTAGGCCAAACAAGATGCAGATTTCCTGCAGTCACAGTGCTCCCCCATCAGCCCAGCCAGGGCCTGCGTTTCCTCCATTTGCTCAGGCACCAGGCCTAGTCCCTGTCCCCCGGACTCCACCGCGAAGGCCTCTCAGGCGGGTTCCCATCGTCTCTGCCTGGGGAGCTAGAACCTGAGCCCAGGGCTGCCCAGCGGTCAGCAGGCCCAACAGTTAGGAGACTCACCTGGGACATTTGCAAACGCGCCTTCGGTTCCCTGGATAAGGAAAGAGAAGAGGTGGAGTGACTGCCGCCAACAGGCCCCAAGTGTGGTTTCTTCTTCCCTTTTCCTGTTTCCGTAGGTTTCTAACTCTTGGGAGCCCAGGTGAGGGCTTCTTTTCCATCCTTCTTGGCATCAATGAAAAGAAAGCAAACTACACTCCCCCCGCCACCCTGCCACCCCCCCAACACTAACACCAACACTGCAAATACAGATGTGGTTTGCCTCTGTGGGAACCAAAGCGGGGTAGGGGGCCCATGGGGAGAGGGTCAAGGATGAACCTCCACCCCTGGTGGTTTTGACCCCGCCTCAAGGGCACGGGTCCCAGGGCCCAGAGGCGGCCTCCCCCGAAGGCGTTTGTGATAAACCCGTCTGCGCATTCACTACCGGCTGCGTGGAGGGAACCACCTGCTTCAGCCGATAGGAGAATGGGAGGGATCTGTGTTCCATCAGAACCTTCCCGGGGAATGGAAGACCGGAGGGGAGGGGCTTTCCCGAGTGCGATCTCCTGGGAGAAACTGGCTGTGCCTGGCCCTGCGGTGCAGCTCAGAGTCCACCCCACTCCCAGCCAGAGTCACCTGCCAGCCAGGGTCACCTCCCAGCCAAGGGTCACCTCCCAGCAAAGGGTCACCTCCCAGCAAAGGTCACCTCCCAGCAAAGGGTCACCTCCCAGCAAAGGGTCACCTCCCAGCCAGGGAAGGCTCCCCTCCCAGCCCGGGACCCCTCCCAGCAAAGGGTCACCTCCCAGCAAAGGGTCACCTCCCAGCCAGGGACGCCTCCCAGCCAGGGTCGCCCGGAGCGGGGTGCACAGCGGGCGGTAGCGGAGCGGACGGCTCCCCGCCCCGGACTCACTGTAGCAGCAGATGACGGTGACGATCAGCGACAGGAGGAGGACCGCGCAGGTTCCCGCCAGCGG